GAAAGCAGTAGAAGATGGCCCAAGTCCTTGGACCCCTGCACCAGTGTGGGAGACCCAGAAGAAGCTCCTGGATCCTGGCTTCAATTGGCTCAGCTCTGGATGTGGCCATTTGGGGAATGAATCAGCAGATGGAAGACCTCTCTCTCTCTCTGCCTCTCCTTCTCTGTGTAACTCTGAATCTCAAATAAATAAATAAATCTCTAAAAAAAATGCACTTGGTGTGCTCCATACTCAATAAATGTTAGAAAATGCTAGTATTTCCTTGTCAAGCTCCATATAGAGTCGTCAGCCTGATTAATGTGGCCCAGGGAGCCAACGCCACAGCAAGGATGTGAGCCAACGGCCAAGTTACTGAAGACAAGAAAAACACCTCCAGTGTGGGCCCTATTCTGAGTACACACAGAGAACATGGGCAGTGTGCACGAATCAAGAAGTAGGTTTCACTTCTTTCCTAACAGCACTCACCAGCAAATGGGGTGTATTAAGTGGACTTTGCCACCATCGTTTGTGTTCCACATTCCTGAATGTGGCCAGGCTGATTAACCTGGACTCGGCATCGACCAAATGAGGGCCCCTCCACAAGTCCTAAGATGTGGATTTGCCAGGATGTTTCACCCTGACCAGCGAACCTTTGGATCTGCCTTCCAACTCAAAGGGGCACAGCTCCAGGTTACGCTAAGAAGCAAACGCAAGCTTGAGTGTAGGGAATTCTCCAGGACAGACAGCTGATGGGTCTAGTGTCATGAAAAGGGGCCTGAAATGCTAGCTTAGAAGACATGCAAGGGGCCGGTGCTGTGGTGTAGTAACGCCACCACCTGTGACACTGGCATCCCATATGGGTGCCGGCTTGAGTCCCAGTTGCTCTACTTCTGATCCAGTTCCCTGCTAATGCTCCTAGTGCTTGGACCCTTGCACCTATGCAGGAGACCTGGATGGGGTTCCTGGCTCCTGGCTTTGCCCTGGCCCAGGCCCGGTCATTACAGCCATTTGGGAAATGAACCAGCAAATGGAAGATCTGTCTCTTCCTCTAACTCTACCTTTCTAATAAAAATAAATCTTAAAAAAGACATACAAGATACACAACATATCAACAAATCTACCGAATAGGACACATGGCCCTGGACCAGATCCTGATTTGGACAATTTTGAGGACAGGTGGAAAAACTGGGAAATGTGGGATCAGATAAAGATATTGCAAATCTTGGGGCCAGTGCTGTGGTGCAGCAGGCTAAGCTACTGTCTGTGGCTCTAGCATCCCATTTGGGTACGGGTTCGAGTCCTGGCTGCTCCACTTCTAATCCAGCTCCCTGCTAATATGCCTGGGAAAGCAGTAGAAGATGGCCCAAGTCCTTGGGCCCCTGCACTCACATGGGAGACCCAGGAGAAGCCCCTGGCTCCTGGCTTCAGATCGGCCCAGCTCCAGCCATTTTAGGAATGAACCAGCGAATGGAAGACTTCTGTCTTTCTGCCTCTTTCAAATAAATAAATCCTTTAAAAAGTGTTACAAATAAGCTGGTGCCACGGCTCACTAGGCTAATCCTCCGCCTTGCGGCGTCGGCACACCAGGTTCTAGTCCTGGTCGGGGCGCCGGATTCTGTCCCAGTGGCCCCTCTTCCAGGCCAGCTCTCTGCTGTGGCCAGGGAGTGCAGTGGAGGATGGCCCAAGTGCTTGGGCCCTGCACCCCATGGGAGACCAGGAGAAGTACCTGGCTCCTGCCATTGGATCAATGCAGTGTGCCGGCCGCAGCGCGCCAGCTGTGGCGGCCATTGGAGGGTAAACCAACAGTAAAGGAAGACCTTTCTCTCTGTCTCTCTCTCTCACTGTCCACTCTGCCTGTCCAAAAAAAAAAAAAAAAAAGTGTTACAAATAACAAAATAGCTTAATACTCAGTAAAATGCAAACATCCCGATGCATCAATAAGGAATTAACAATACTCATTTTGGGAAGGGCAGTATAAAGCTTTTTGACTTATCTGTATTTTTTTCCTAAGTTGCACATGTTAATTTTGTGGTAGTAACAGATTATTCTGAATTAAAAAAGGAAATAGTCCTGACACAGGCAGAGAGAGGTAACAGTTCACGGGGGAATGCAGGTGTGACTGACAGAACTGGATCTTCCTCTGCTGCTGAGGCTCACTGCCATCTAGCCTTGGTATTTGGTGTGAGACATACACACACACACACTCCAGGGGGAGAGAAGAACGTGTTAGAAATAGCGTGGTCAGTTCTACCCACCAGGTCCCTATACCCTGGAAGACCCACAGAGCTTAAGATCAGAAGTCAAGGTTTGTACCAGCTTAGTAAAGAATACCTCCAAGGAAGGTTAAGAACCATTGCCCTAAAATGTTTGCCTTGTTGCTTTTTTTTTTTTTTTTAATATTTATTTGAAAGGCAGTTACAGAGAGGCAGAGGCAGAGAGAGAAGGAGGTCTTCCATCCACTGGTTCACTCCCCAGATGGCTGCCAACAGCCAGAGCTGTGCCAATCCAAGGCCAGGAGCCAGGAGCTTCTTCCTGGTCTTTTCACGTAGGTGCAGGGGTCCAAGCACTTGGGCCATCTTCTGCTTTCCCAGGCCATAGCAGAGAGCTGGATTGGAAATGGAGCAATTGGGACTTGAACCAGCGCCCATATGGGATGCTGGCACTGCAGACGGCAGCTTTACCTGCTACGCCACAGCACCGGCCCCAGCCCTGTTGCTTTTTTAATAGAGGGTCTCGAAAGTGCTTTCAATTCCCGAAGCTCTGCAGGCGGAACAAGGGGTTCCAGTGAGACCCCGTGGTCACAGCGACGGTCCTGCTCCTACACGGGGCTATCCCTTGTCCAGCTTTTGCTGCGACGGGGAGGGCAGAGGAGACGAGATCCAAAGTCCAGAGTTACAAATTCTTCACAGCCTCACAGAGCCCCCAGACACTGCCAGCAGCTGGGACACACAAGTGTGACAGGCCTCAGGCTCCCACCCCAGAACACACGGAGCCCTTCCCCTGCCCGCTCTCGGTCCTAGGCATCCCCTGGAGAACCTGGGGGAGCCACACAAACCACCCAGAGAGATGCCAGAGATGCGGGGAAGCGCGTGGAAAGAATTCACAAAGTCAGGGGCAGGCCAGGGTGAGGGCTCTTGCTGGTCCCTGGAAAGTTCAGTTCCCACACGCAGGCTGCAACACCTGCCACACCAGAGACTCCCGGGGACTAGGAGTGCCAGAGAGAGGGGACTTCAAGACCCTTGATCACACGGACTAGAGAGTGAAGGAAGGAAGCAGTCAGAGCTGCCCTGTGTAATGGAGTCATTTTATTAGAAGCAACCTTGGTCACACCCCCAGCAATGTGAAGTCTCTTGAAGAAACAGCCCCGCCCGTACACGAAGTCAGAAACGGTGGTGCATTTGGCACGGCAGTGAAGACGCTGCTTGGGACACCCATATCCCATGTTGGGGTGCCAGGGCTTGCGTCCTAGCTCCCTCGTGATGCACACCCTGGCAGGCAGCAGGGGCATGACTCAAGTAGTCGGGTCCCCGACACCGGCCTGGGAGGTCCGGATTCACTGGGCTCCTGGCTTTGGTTTGGCCAAGCCAAACATTTGAAGAGTGAACCAATGGCTGGAAGGTTTCTGTCTCTATCTTGCTCCCTCTCAAATAAAATGAAACTAACTTAAAAAAAACAACAACAACAACAACAAAAAAAACGACGACCTCAGAGATCGGGGCAGTTGCTCGGTGCAGTGGTTATACCGCCACTTGAGATGCCTGTGTCCCATAGAGGAGTGCTTGGGTTCAAGTGGGAGCTTCGCCCCCAGTCCCACTCTCCTGCTGATGCACTTTCTGGGAGGCAGCAGCGACGGCCCAGGTAGCTGGGCTCCGGCTACCCACGTGGGACACCCAGATTGAGTTCTCAGCTCCCGACTTTGGGTTGGCCCAGCCCCAGCCACTGCCGGCATTTGAGGATCGAACCAATGGATGGAGGATCTCTCTCTCTCTCTGCCTTTCAAATAAGACGAAGAAAAGTAAGACTATGAAAAATAATCAAATAGACAGATTGAACTTCCACCCAGCTCCAAATCAAGGTTCAGAAACCTGCTCCTTTCTTTGAAGGACATATTTGCATCCCAGCTGCCTGTGAGAAGCACCCTCCGAGCAGGACAGGCCGGGCAGCACGCCTGCAAGGGCGGCCCTGTGTGTCAGGAAGGGTGGGTCCGGGTCCTGCAGAGCCTGCAGCTGGGGAGAGTTACCCTGCTCAGGCCAATCGGCGCTGACTGCAAATCCAATATTTTTACAAGTCAGCAGGGGATGCTAATGGGAATATGCATTGATTTTTGAAATTCCTTAGAAGGTGTTTTGTAGGGAATTAGACATATTCCTCTGTTTTCTTTTCTGTGGTGACTGGGAGCTGTCTTCCCGTCCACTGGATTTCCCAATTGGATGGAATGCTGGTACAGAGCAAATACTGCCGTTGTCCTGTCCTTACACTATGCCAAGGAAGTAAGAAACAGAAGCAAACATCTTCAACTGCCTGGCCAGGAGGTGCGACTGTCTAAACTTGACCATTGAGACACCAAGTATTAGATTGAGAATGGCAGAAGCGTTCAAAAAGTCAGAAACTGGGAATTCGGGATCTGGACTGTTTTGCATTCAAATATAATACAGCTCCTTTGCGGGGTCACCTTAATACTATCAGAAGGAGGAGCAAAAACAAAAACAAAATCGACCCAGCCAGGAGTTCAGGCACTTGGCTGGCAGGAATTGGGAGCCTGGGCACTCTTGTTCTTCCAGCCCAATACAGAAAAGCTCACGTTACCACCACAGGCACGGTGCACCTGACCAATTAGCTGGCATACCTACTGGGTCCTGGTTCCTTCAACTCCGAGAGGGCTTCCCAGGAAGGCCCTCCCCAGCCAGCTGCTCTGCGGCAATGTCTGCCTGTGCTTCCTCCTGAACATTTCCCCAGGGCCCAGGAGACCCGCAGGGGAAGTTTCTTTGGTGACATTCCAGAAATTCAAGCCACACACATACCTCGTCTCCGTGCATATTTGCCACGTATTTGAAGTCCGGAATCCCAACTCTGTGTTCCTTCGGGAACCGTCCCACAACAAGAACCCACAGGTTTCTACCTTTACAGGGAAGAAAAAGAATCGTAAGTTTCTCCTGAAACTCCGGGAGACTGGGCAGCAAACCATGCCGACCCCCCCACCTGATTAATGCTTCACTTAAGTTCACCTAGCATTCCTGTGCGTAAGATGCTCTTTCCTGCTAGAGCGTAAAGAAACCCTTTCAATGGAACACAAATACTTAACTTGGGGCTGGCGCCACGGCTCAAAAGGCTAATCCTCCACCTGCAGCGCCAGCACACCGGGTTCTAGTCCCGGTCCAGGTGCCGGATTCTGTACTGGTCGCCCCTCTTCCAGGCCAGCTCTCTGCTGTGGCCCAAGTGCTTGGGCCCTGCACCCGCATGGGAGACCAGGAGAAGCACCTGGCTCCCAGCTTCGGATCAGCGCAGTGTGCCGGCCGCAGCACATTGGAGGGTGAACCAATGGCAAAAGGAAGACCTTTCTCTCTGTCTCTCTCTCTCTCTGTCCACTCTGCCTGTCAAAAAACAAACAAACAAACAAACAAAAAAACAAAAAAAAAAACCACAACCCAAATACTTAACTTGCTTTAGAATGTGATTTTTCAAAGTTGGACACTTCGTAGGGGACCTAGATCTTGTTTTTCCAAAATGTTTATATTCTCATTTTTTACTCTGACATCTAGATCCTCCCAGAAATGACGACCTTGCTACTGCACATGATGATACACAGGTTATAGACAGTTGGCTAATGGCTGATTGGGAGCATGCCAGCCCAAGGAAGACAATGAAACATGCAACTCAGAAGGGAGACTGCTTTTGAAGTAAGATCCTGAATCCTGTATTCTATGCTGATGTGATGTGGCTCCAAGGCTGGCATGAGCCCTGCCCACCCTAATGATGCCAAGAACACTTCCGCGTCCCAGCTCTGCGGTAGTCTGTGGTTAGACAGAAACCAGTATCTGGGGATTTGCTCCGTCAACAGTACAGCTCTGGTTCATGGCATCTCACCTAACTACTTGTCGTGACCACTGAGATGGGCCATCTCTTTTGTTTCCCTAATATTTACTATTTGAAAGGCACAGTGAGAGAACACGCACATGTGCAAGAGACAGAAGGAAAGAGGGAGAGAGAGGGGGGCCTGTGTGTGAGCGTGTGTACATGTACAATTCCCTCTGCTGGCTCACTCCCCAAATGCCTTCAACAGCTTAGCCAGAGTCAGACTGACACCAGGAGCCAGGAACTCCATCCAGATTGCCCGTGTGTGTGGCAGGAGCCATTTTCTGTTGCTTTACCAGGCACATCGGCAGGGAGCTGGATCAGAAGTGTGGAGTAGCCTGGATGCAAACCAGTCACTCAGATATAGGAAGCCAGTGTGCTCAGTGGCAGCTTAATCTGCTGTAGCACAATGCCCACCACTGAGAAGGATTAACTAAACTTTACACATGAGAAGACTTGGGGCCAGTGCTGTGGCCTAGTGGGCTCAGCCTCCACCTGCAGCACTGGCATCCCATATGGGTGCCAGCATGTGTCCCAGTTGCTCCTCTTCTGATCCAGCTCTCTGCTATGGCCTGGGAAAGCAGTGGAAGATGCCCCCAAGTGCTTGGGCCCCTGCACCCATGTGGGAGACCAGGAGGAAGCTCCCAACTTCAGATTGTCCCAGCTCTGGCTGTTGCTGTCATTTGGGAAGTGAAGCAGCAGATGGAGGACCTTTCTCTCTCTTCTCCTGTCTGTAGCTCTACCTCTCAAAATCTTTTTAGAAAGTAAGAAAACCGATCTTCAAAAATATTAAATAAACTACTTGTCACAGAGCCAGTAATTGGCTCCGATTCAAGCCTCGGAGTCTCGAGTTGAGTCTACTCAATTTCAGTCCTGGTGCTCTTCTTCCTAACAAAATACCACCATTCTCTCACCTACCTAAACCAATAGAAAGCAGTACCTTTCAATTCTAAAACTGTCTGGCACTTTGTTATTTTTAATTATTTGAGAGAAAGAGAGACATGGAAAAACAGAAAAAGCAGAGTTCTAATCCATTGGTTCACTCTCCAAATGCCTGCAGTGGCTGTGGCTAGGCCAAGGCCAGGAGCTGGTACCTCAATCTAAGTCTCCCAGATAGGTGGCAGGAGCCATCATGGCTACACCCCAGGGTCTGCCTTGGCAGAATGCTGTAGTCAGAGCCAGGGCTGGGACTCAAACTCATATTTGGACATGGGACACAGGCATCGACTACTTGGCTAAGTCCTTACTCCCTGTCTAGAACTTTAAATACAGTCTAGAATTGGAGATTGAGGGCTGGTGTTGTGGTGCAGCGGATTAACCATTGCTTGCCAGGCCAGTATCCTATTTCAGAGTGCTGACTCGAGTCCTCGCTGCTCTGCTTCTCATCCTGGTTCCTGCCAACGCGTCTGGGAAGGCAGTGGAAGATGGCCCAAGTACCCAGGCTACTGCCACCCATGTGGGAGACCTGGATGATGTTCCAGGCTCCTGGCTTTGGCCTGGCCCTGATCTGGCTGTAGGGGTCCCTTGGGGGAGTGAACCTGTGGATGAAAACTCTGTCAGTTTGCCTTTCAAATACGTATTTTTCTCAAAAAAATCAGAGATTGGGTATGTTTAATACCAAACATGTTTATTCAATGTTTGACCACAGAGCCTTATCTGGAATTTAAGAGCCCCAGACAGGCTCCAGCCTGCTATCTGGCTGGCAACAAGTGGGCCCCAGCTGGCCCAGACCAGGGTACACACACAAAAGAAAAACTATTTACTTTTCGTAACCTGACTGCCAAGGTAAAGGATACTCAACAAGACGATTTTCCTATCAGAGTTGGGAAGACTGCCTTCATTCCTTAGAGCTCTAGCTAATAACATGGGTGCCAAAGAGTCCTAAAGTGCACAACTGTCTCTTTATTAAAACATCCACAAGATCTGGGTTCCAAATACTTCTGTATCTACACTCGGGAACTCACTCAGGGCATGACACACAGATCCCAGCTCTGTGGCATGGTGCCCAGCTGGGGCTGCTGGGAGATCAGGAAAGGTTTTGCAACTTGGAAGGATTCGCCAAGATCTACAGACAAGCAAGCAGACAACTAGTGCTGCAAAGCCTTCCAGGAGTTGAGCAGGAAACAGATCCGAGTTTCACCAGGCAGAAATGGGCAGGGTGTTGGGCCCACAGCCCCACCCCCACCTACTCAACCAGACTGCAGAAACCTGCATTTAACAAGCCCCTTCGGCGATCCTGAGGTCCCTTGAAGTTTGAAAGCCTCTAGGACCGAGGCAGTCGGTGTCCAGACAGACACGGGAGGCAGCTCACCTCGGGGTCACACCCTCTCCTTTTCTACATCATCGTGAGTGCGTCTCTCTGCCACGTAGGCTTCCACGACACCCCTTTCAATGGCTGCTTACTGACATGTGAGAACACTACCATTTAGTCAACCAATGCTCTATTGTTAGGTGTCCAAAAATAAGCCATTTCATGTAAATTGCAGCAGGCCTAATAAAATTATGTCCAGAGTTTGTAGTTATTTTATAGGGGCAGGCATTTGGCAAAGTGGTTAAGTCAGCCACGGCCCACACCGGAGAACCAGGGTTGGATTCCTGCCTCTGGTCCCTGACCCCGACTTCCGGCTGACGCAGCCCGTGGGTGACAGTGGCGATGGCCGTGGCGATGGCCCAGGCGATGGCGTTACTGCCGTCCACGTGGGAGACCTGGATTGTGCTCTGGCCAAGCCGCAGCCTTGGTGGGCATTTGAGGAGTGAATCAGCAGATGGGAACTCCATTCATCTCTTGCTCTTGCTGACTCCCAGATATGTAATTTAAAAAACCTGTCATTTTCACATATTAAAGAATATGTGAAAAGAATATGTAAAAAGGAAGTTCAATTATGTAACTATGGCCATGCAAATCAGATTGCTCATTGGAAACACAGCACCATACCATACAAACTCAAATAATGGACAAGCTCCTACACACGCTGGAAATGGCGTCCTGTTGGTGATAATAGGGTAGGTGACAGGGTGATAAAACTCACCAGGTTCTTTTCCCTTCATCTTTCTAGTTTCTTAAAAAACAAAAACAAAATCTCAGGGCCAGCGCTGTGGTGCAGCGGGTTAACGCCCTGGCCTGAAGCTCCGGCATCCCATTTGGGCGCCAGTTCGAGTCCCAGCTGCTCCTCTTCCGATCCAGCTCTCTGCTGTGGCCTGGGAAAGCAGTAGAAGATGGCCCAAGTCCTTGGGCCCCTGTACCCACGTGGGAGACCTGGAAGAAGCTCCTGGCTTCGGATCAGCGCAGCTCCGGCCACTGCGGCCAGTTGAGGAGCGAACCAGCGGATGGAAGACCTCTCTCTGCCTCTCTCTGTGTAACTCTGACTTTCAAATAAATAAATCTTTAGGCCGGCGCCGCGGCTCAATAGGCTAATCCTCCGCCTAGCGGCGCCGGCACACCGGGTTCTAGTCCCGGTCGGGGCGCCGGATTCTGTCCCGGTTGCCCCTCTTCCAGGCCAGCCCTCTGCTGTGGCCAGGGAGTGCAGTGGCGGATGGCCCAGGTGCTTGGGCCCTGCACCCCATGGGAGACCAGGAAAAGCACCTGGATCCTGGCTCCTGCCATCGGATCAGCGCGGTGCGCCGGCCGCAGCGCGCCAGCCGCGGCGGCCATTGGAGGGTGAACCAACGGCAAAGGAAGACCTTTCTCTCTGTCTCTCTCTCTCACTGTCCACTCTGCCTGTCAAAAAAAAAAAATAAATAAATAAATAAATCTTTAAAAAAAAAAAAAAGAAACTAAAACGTCACATGCTATCATTCAGGAAGCCCAGATACCATGTGCCAGGCACTGTACTAAGCACTTTAGGTGGGTGATGTCTGGCCATAATTCATTGTGGAGGAAACTGAGTTGAGCAGTAGCACTGGGGCCAGCACCAAGCCACTGCCTGCAGTGCCGGCATCCCATATGGGTGCCAGTTCCAGTCCCGGCTGCTCCACTTCTGATCCAGCTCTCTGCTAATGTGCCTGGGAAAGCAGTGGAAGATGGCCCGGGTGCTTAGGCCCCT